GAAACAAAATTTTGTATTCAACAAGAATTTTTGCTGCCAAATACATGTACTTTTATATGTCGATACCAATTACATATATAGTTTTGACCTTAAAGCGGGGCAGGAGTCACCTGCGCATGCGTCAGATGGCCATTATGTGTCATTCTTTACAAACAAGCGTCTACCCATGAGCCTTTGCGTTTTTAGCATGAGTTATCATTGCTTGGGACTCAATTCCCACGCGTGCGCAGGTGATGACCCTCCCGCTTTAAATTAATATCTTGAATGAACATTCACAAATGGCCACAGAGATCTGGTTGTGTGTAAGAAGGCCATGATACTTGATTTTACTCTCGAATGGGGTTCTGTTCTGTCATTATCTCCACTGTTTCACTTATCTATGTAATCATAGTATTTTTTAACAGATAGCGCGATGACGTCAGGAATTGAAACGCTGTTTTAGGAGCAAAAACAAATTGCAATATGCTCAAGAGATCCCTGCAACCATTTAGAATCAGGGTCTATTAGTTTTGCTGATCACCAAAGTTAATTTGGACACTGCTTTGTAGATAGTGATACAGATGGAGCATTAGAATCAAGGTCTATTAGTTTTGCTGATCACCAAAATTAATTTGGACACTGCTTTGTAGATAGTGATACAGATGGAACATAAACAACAGATATAGTCTGGGTTATTGCTACTTCTTCTTACGAGAGTAAATTTATGTAATTGTATAGAATTCTACAATAATTCACTACTGCCAATACGTTTTATAATTTTGTGGGACAATGAATTAAATGTTTCTCCTATTATCTACATGTTTTCATAGCGTGTTCAGTGCAGTCCTTGACTCCAGTGGTCACAACAGTGTGCGTTTGATATGGGTCCCATGCTAACATGCATGTGTCATGCCTACTATTTGGCATATCATCACTGTGATATCTTCCCCCATGATCTGCATTCATCGTCATGGTAGTGTGTGTTTGATATGTGTCCCATAACTATCATTTTGTGGGTATTCATCTCCCCTATTTGTTACGAACGGGAATACGAGATAGTCTCCCGCGAATCCGGCCACCAATATCCCGCAGAACCACAGCACGCTGTCTTGCACCTATCAGTCCCACATGCTGAATTGGACAGGCATTATCTTGAGACATACGTTGGCTCCCATGTCGACACTGCACCGCAGCTGAACTGCACTGGTCGAGAGCTGGGTGACAACTGACTAATCGGTGTTCACGTTCGTCTTGCACAAGCACGAACAAAAGAATATTAATTAGCAATGACAATACATGCTGTCTATTCTATTTCCGCAGCTGGGCAAGCCTCACTAGCTAACTGGGCATTATCAAAATACATTTGTATTACAGCAAAAATAGAATATCGTAACATATCATACACAGGTCCTTGGAATGCATAGCATGTGTCTATTCTCACAGAATTGACCAGTTTCGATTTCTGCTCTTCTCTCGGGGAAACTTGTGCGATCTGGGGCAAATTCGTTGGCTTGGGTGAGTGGGGGTTAATACTGCCACATAAACATTTGATAGCTCATCATATTGCATTGAAACCGGTGAATAAATTGCGCAAGAAATCACACCCCCCATTTTCGCACAGAAAGTGACTGATGGTGCTATAACTCAATGACAAAATGTACAATCATTCCTCTTGGTTATCCATAGGGGGTAAATGGGCAATACTATAAGGTTATTACGAAGATATCGCGTCGGTCGATACTGCCGCTGTACTGTCTTCGTGCATACTTTGAGATATCTTCGTAATAACCTTATTATTATACATCTTTTCCTTCCAATGATACATCATGGGAATGCCGAAATCCAAAAAGTTTAGAACAGAATCAGCGAACTTATTTGTGTGGAGTCCGGTCAAATCCTGGTGGCAGCCATGTTTGTTTTTATTAGTAGAGGACGCTTACGCGCGTAATCATTCCATATTTGGAATTTGCATTTCCTAATATGGTAGTATGAAAATACCCCGTAAAATACCGCAAAATTACGGCACGCTGTAACTTGGCGTTGCGGTGACAGATGTATAATAATATAAATTACCTGCATATTATATGGGCAATATTATAAATTACCTGCATATTATTTACCTCATTTACATAATGCTTAAGTGCATCATCATCTTACAATTATGGGTAAAAAGATCGGTCGTAAAAGTGGGCTTGAATCAGCGGCGCAAACCTGTTTGAAAGTATCTCCATCATACACGGACTTACTCCAATGTCATGCTTTATTAGAAGAGTTTGACCAATTACAAATTCTGATTGGTTGGAAGTAGCCAAGCTCAGATACTTGGAAAAATAGGAACATACTGATAAAAATAGGGCGGAGATTTAGACTGGTTTGAAGCAGCATGAATTTTCGGGATCTTTTCTCGTACACGTGTATCCTATCCACCTTTGTTTCATTATATCAGTATACACATTTCCATACCATATTTTAAATGACTTTCCTGTTTATGATTGTTGACAGGGTCTTATCTGGCCCAGTGAGCAACATGCTCACCCCCCAATTGTTTCCCATCAATATCTACATTAGCTAATTCAAACCAATGTTTCATGATGTTCGGGGTGGGTAGTCAGAAGGGTATGGGGGATGTTTGCTCAAACATGTTTTTTTAATAGTCTCTAAATGCATATAGAGTAATATCTAAGAACCCATTCCTAAGTATACTAACATGCAAACAAGTTTGCGAGGAAATTCCCTAGAATTCTAAATGTCGTGTATAATGGGATTCAGATTCACCCTGGTGATTCACTTGCGGGTTCACCGGGAAAGAGTCACGGAGATAGAAAAATAAATTTAAAAAAAAAAAAATGTTATTTTGCTCAATTTGTGTAGGACATCCATTGACTAAATGCTTTATTTCAAAGCAATAATATTTTAAAATTTTTTTAAGTAGTCCGGGTGAACTACTAATAGGTAGAAAAATGGTAGGCCCAGGACAAGATTTGGTAGCCTGTGTGTCTTAAGCTACTGTTAATTTTGAAACCTGCACATGAATCCCACGAGACAAGGACCAAGATTTTCAACACAAATATGAAATCAGTTTTGTTAAATGTTTGACATGGAAGACAACTTCATAATGCAGCACAACTCAAGCCTATACAAACTCTTGCTTAAAGAAACCCTAGGAATATTGATTAGTAACCAAAAGCTATGAGAACAAACAAGATACCTTCCACAAATCAGCTGAGGATAAGAAAATCGACTTGGATTGGTCATACACTCCATAAAGAGCCATCACTAGATAGGCCAGACGATGGACAAATAGTAATATAAATAGCTCTGCTTTGTTATTTTCAATGAGAGCATAGCTGAAAACTTAAAAAAAAAAGAATAAAGACAAGTTTTCCATTATGTAATTTATTTTCAACAAATCAAAGCTTTTGTGAATTATTCTTCCATTCAAAGCTACAGCATATTTGAGCTCCCAATATAATTTTGAATTGACCTGAGTCTTGCCTGCTTGTCACATTGAGAAGGGTTACATACAAATTCAATAATGAATGAAAACTCGCTTTCTAATTTGAATTTATGTATACCTTCAAATAATCACTGTCACTTTAACCCTTTAAGCACCCATATTTCTTTCTTACCAAAAGGATTACATTGCCCATTTTTTGAGAAATATTTTGATAATGTTTAACCAAACTGACAATTTCCTATTGGCTACGAGTTTTTGATAAACATTTTGGAACAAATATGAAAAATTATGTAGGTGAATGGTGACAAAATTAAATGTTGGCACTCAAAGGATTAAAACCATTATAATGTACGACTGAATATATAGAAAATAAACACAAATCAACCTTTAAAGGGTTTTTCTGAATAATGAATGACAATTGTGCCTCGCGTACTACATGTAAAAAGTCGTTTTCTTGAATAATGAAGTTAAATATAAAAAGTCATAATACAATATTTTGTTTCAAACCAAAGATTTCAGCTTTTCATAGCATGTCGCCATTGTGATTTTGAGCAAATGTTCAGAAAATCAAAATAGCAGTTTTACCCCACCCCCCCACTCATTCACAGCTACAACGTGCATTATAGGGTTCTCCTTTTGTAATAAAATGTCAAAATGGCCCGAGTTTATCCAACAACCTCACATGATTTTAGAAATATTTATAAATACCATTAAAACATCCTTGGGTAACCTATTGTAATGAATGACAGTTTTGCCTAAATGTATAGAAATAATAATAAAACGTTAATGCTATTTTTTTAGTAATGAATTAAAATTGGGCTAAATACAGGTTAGGAACAAAAATTTAACTCTAGTTTTCTTGATTAATGAATTACAGTTTCTAGATATAGGTAAATAAAAGACACAAAAACACTATTTAAAAAAAACTCTGATTTCCTGTGAATGTGGTTTATAGTGATTTTCCAACAGCGATTTATAAAATCGAAATAGCGATCGAAAACAGTGCGTTTCTTCACATAGTTTGGTGGGCCTCCAAGACCCCTTGGCTGCATTTTTTCTTTTCACTTTTTTGTGCTTTCTATTTTTTTTAATTTTTATAATTTTTTGGTATTGTAAATATTGAACATTTTGTAATTTGTAATCCATTGTAAATCCAAATTGCTGAAAAGAAAATTATTGAATAAAATACTTTTTAAATGGTCAGAGCGTTACCTGCTTTACTTGTAGGGAATAGTACAAAGAAGAATCTACCACAATAATGAGTAAAATCTCACTTTCAAATATGAATTTATAAATATATTTTTAAGTAATTACAAATGAAGACCCCTGAAACCATTGTGATGCATGACAATTTTGCATAATTATAGGACAATTAAAAAAATCTTTTTTTTGTATTGATCAATGGAAGATAATTGTGCCTCAATACAGGTAAACGCCTATTTTAAAGCGGGGGAGTAGTCACCTGCCCATGCGTCAGATGGCCATAGTGTGTCATTGTTTACAAACCAACGTCTACCCATGACCCTTTATGGTTTTTAGCGCGTGTTATCATCGCTTAGGACTCAATTCCCATGCGTGCGCAGGTGACGACCCTGCAACTTTAATTGAATGATGAACAGTTTTCCTCAATATAAGTAAATACACAAAATCTACATTTTTGTTTAGAAGACAATTGTTTCTGATTGATGCATGTGGCTTATTGTGATTTTTCAACAAAAAATCAAACCA